TGTCTGCTAGCACCCATATTTCTCTCTTCAAATATGCTGACGGTGTGGTTTTGTGTCAAGTCATCTCCGATTCTTCTGGTCTTTAACAATTTTCTGACAACTTGAATAACGTTCAACGATTTTCCGCCACATCTGGCCTATCTCTGAATCCCTCCAAATGTCTCGAATGTCTCTTTACATTATCACGCTCTTCTTTCCCAACCGAACCGGTATCGATTAGCTCTGAACCGGAATCCCGGGTGAACTGTATTAAATGCCTGGGTGTTTTTATTGATACCAATTTTTATTAGACCTTTCACATTCAACATATTGTCAGTAAGCTTCGACGACTTTCTTTTCATATCCGTAAACTTAGTCGATTTCGTATTCAACAAGTGATTATCTGCAAAATTGTGTACCAATGCGTTTTCCCCGTTTTACTTTATTGTTCACCTGTTACTTTTTCCAATGTCCTAAAGAACCATTTTATATTGCTTCGACATGGACTGACCACATTTTCCATGTCTCTTCAGTCCCACCGGAGGAGTTTGTAACTAACCTGTGCGAACGTCATTTGAATGCATGCGAAAAGTTTGCACATAGGATTCGCATCGACTCCACACATCCGCTACACAAAGATCTAACTTCCTGTTGTTCCCATCCTTCAACTAGATCCCAGTATTATTGTGTCCCCTCTCGAATAGATATATATCGTAACTCCATAGTACTGTCGTTTGTACGTATTCTAGTTAACAAAGAACAGGGTTTCACATATTATGTTTACAGTTTTGGGATTTAAATTTCTTTTTTCATTGTTATTTTTTATTTTCTCCCTTGCTCCAACCTGTATATTTTTAACTGAAATGCGGGCCTCATACCTGTATAAGTTATTACAATACAATACAATATAATACAAGATAGCCGTATTTCATTCGCATGAGTTTAGTGTGTGATGACGCAATCTTTCTGGACATGTATGCAGCTCACTTGCTTCTGCAAAATCCTAGGATAAATGAAATCACTTAAATTTCTGAACCACGATTCGCTGTCAGCGGAAACGGAGCCCCCAAGCTATCAGGAATCTAACGCCCAGGGCTTAACGCCTGAAGTTTGCTATGCATTTTGGCAGTTCATGCCAGTATTACATTAGTCCATCGAGACCCTTTAAAAAGAAAATTTTATGAAAACGACTACCGCTTTAGTCCATTCGGATTCCCATTTGATGGAATGTTTTACCCTTATCGACTCAATCTACAATATAATATCCAGTTACCCAGAACACACACAATAGATAAATTTCTCCTTATAACACTTGACGTACGTGTTTAAAAACCGTGGATAGTCGATACACTTGCATGCACAAGCCATCCGATCCAGTGCTCAAAGATATATTCTTCTGTGCGTTACGTTTCTACTTTGGTATATAGCCGCTAGGATATTATAAAAAGTTCCGGATAACTTTTCTGAATTTCTGACTGCTATATGAGAATCTTGTATACTGTCATCCGTGAGCACTTGAAATCACGCGTTTTTGTTGTTCCAACTCAACTGGTTGTTTAACCCGGTCCATTCTTCTGAGTTCGTGACCTTGAAGTTATTGCCTGCTCGAGCTGTTGTCTTAAGTCATCCACGTTTAGAACTTTGCTCCAGGTCTTATACCCTATGACACTGCAACTGTACTCCACACAGTATCGCCGCATTCGATGGGACTTGATTTTGGTGTATCAAATAATGCAGAACCCAGATAACCCAAGTCGTTCACTTTTTTGATTTGGATAGGTGTAACGAACTGTCAAGTACCACAACAAATGGCCAAACACATGCTACTGGGATTAGTGAAATCAATGAAACAACTCACACACGATAGCTACGTGCTTAGGAGACCGCGGGGTCGTCATCTGTTGCTAAACACGTCATGTGAACCAAACATGTAATAGATTCTGGTCCCTCTTTCAAGCCGCGATGCAAAGCTTCGAAAACAGCTCGTTATCAGTCGTTATCAATCCGATTAGATCCCTGAGTTTTGTTCGCCAAAATGACATGGATGCATTCATTCAGTTCACTGGCCATGGTGTTGATCTTTTGTTTCTAATTTTAGAAATCTTTGTCTATTTGACGCGCGTTTGTTCACTAAGATTTAATAACCCAAGGTGCTATAAATATGCCTGTTTGTTGTATATCAGTGATGTAGGAGATTGAACGAAATGTGATTCAACATATGTACCACGGCCAGTTGACGGTATTCCGAGCTCACAGTGCAGTTGAAAGATCAGCTGATATACGCGCATCCCATGAACAGTTCCGCTACAATTTCTCGCCACCGTTGCGTTCTGGAATTTGTCTACCCAAATTGATGAATATGCATGCTTTACCCATATACACAAAGAGATTTATGTCAAAAATTAAGGATGTTGTTATGAAAAACCATACTGCCATGTTTGAAGTGCCAGTTGCCAGTCAAATGCACAAATACTGCAAACGCGGAAAACGCATTCGTGCCGGTTGGCAGACCGCTCTTGGTCGTACTACTCCCGGCAACATGACTGTACCTACCATTGTGAGTAACAATGTGTTTGGGAAGCTTCCGGATTTATCCTACCTGCTCCAGCAAAAGGTATTTCGCACCTCTTGTGTCTTGTGTCTTCAGGAATCATGGCTAAATGAGGATGTGGTCGATTGTGTGGTCCAACTGGATAATTTCGTCTGCTTCAGACAGGATATACAACGGTATAGGAAGAATTTGGGAAGCGGTGTAATTACTTACATCAATCCCAGTTGGTGCAGCAAATCCGAAGTATTATTCACAGAATGGCGTTGATTGCTTGATTGTCGTCCATCACCCCAAGTTCTCCCGCTTTACTTTTATCACCATAACTAATTTACACATTACACCCCAGTGTAGATTGTCAGACATTGACACATTCTATGACAATTTCCTACCGGTTATTGCCCCATCCCTCGCTGACAGCTTGCACTTAATAGCTGGTGTCTTTAACCACGAGCCCCTTCATCGTTTATTGTGTCTAAACCTCAGCGATCTGATTATTGAAACGACTAGAGGAAACTCTCATCTAGACCACATAATCACAAACCACGCTGACACTTTTTCCACCAAACAGTTCTCCCTCTTGGATACCAGTGATCACAACCTGATCCTGGTCAGATCTAAGATTTACTCACACTCAGGACATTTTTCTTTTAGCCGACCCAAACACACATCATGTTCCGTAAACGAGAGCTTAACCCAGACAATATTGCTTTGTTAAGAGAGTCTTTTAAGGTAGTTACTGACTGTTTTCCTTTAAACACAACCTGCTTATCTTATATGACATTTCTTACAAAAGTGTTAAACTGTGTTTTTGATATATGCTGTCCTGGGATAACTTTGTTCGTTCAACATGGCAGAATATCAACACCTTTTCTTAAACGTCTTCGCCGCGAAAAGGAATGTACTTTTAAATGTGGCAGGAGGGCTGAAATGCAACGGCTAACGTTTCTGATCAAGAGTGAAATCAGACGGTTGGACACCCTTTATGCAAGTCAGTATTTTGGGACGAAGAACTGTAAATCTATGTGGCGTGAAATCAATCTATTCTGCAGGCAGAAGAAAGTGATTTTCATTCCCTATATCGATATTGAAAAACTGAATAATGCATTTATTCATTCTTCATCCGACAAATACCCCAGTTATGTTGATTCCAGCTCTCCAAGCATGTAACCTTCGCTTGATCCCATCACCTCTAGTGAGATGCATAAACACACGCGTTCTCTTACGATGTCGACCGCACCTGGCCCAAACAACTTAAGTTCCACCCTTCTTGAACACGATGCTCTGCCACTGTCTCAGGTTTTTGCACACAGATAATCTTTCACTGGAACCCCGAACTATTCCGGACTACTGGCGCCCAGTGACAATTACTCCCATCCCCGAAGGAAGATCAAAGGCCCCAATAGCGAAGTGTTTCACACCAATTGCTCTCACTTCCCACTGGTTTGAAATTGATGGAGCAATCAGTTCTGCATCGCCTTCAGTTATCCCTTACCACCCCCGATGATACTTATCATTTTGCATACAAGCATAACTGCTCTACTTCGGATGCCGTTTCTTCTCTATTTCATTTCATTTGTAAGTCCCTTAACGAGAAATCTAAATATGTGCATTGTGCATTTCTTGACTATTCTTCCAATTTCAACTCGATGCCCCGTTCTCTTTTACTTTACAAGCTCCAATCTTTTGGCTGTCCCGCTTCTCTTCTTGAATGACTTGCTGATCACTTTTCACACAGATATCAGTATGTTAATTTGAGAAGAAGACAGTCAACCGTCTCACTCAATAGCTCGGGTGTACTTTAAGGTGCTGTTCTATCATCCTATCTTTTTTCTATTTATATCAGTGACTTACCTATTGCTCTCCCTGTTCGACATTTTAAGTATGCTGATGATATCGCCATCTCTGTTTCCGTATCTAACTAATCAGAACTGGTTGAATATAACACATACCTATACCACCGTTTCATGTTCAATTTCCAATGCATCTCGATCCAGAAAAATTCGTTGAATGTATTTTCACTTTAAGCCGTTCCCTATCTCCCTTCCGAATATTTCCAGATTCATAGAAAACTGATGAGCACAGTTAGTCATTTACAGTACTTAGGTGTCACACTTGAATGTAACCGTCCTTACATACCCAAATTGTTGCTTGTAAGTTGAAAAGTTTGTCTTTTCAGATCAGTTGACTTTGCCACTTCTGTTCTGATGTATCAGTGATAAACGCTTTCATTCAACAATGTGTCCTCCCTATACCCCTGTACTGCTCCCCTGTGATTTTCTCTAGTTTTATGAAGGCTGATTTCAAGTTGCTGAGGCGTCCCCTATCAATGATCATGCGTGCCTCCCAAGTTCCGTTATCTGTTCTGATTGGCAATATGTGTTATGCCCCTATTGACGCGCGCTTGAAGTTTGCCGACAATATCCTATCTGATTGCACCCATCCACTACACATTGACCTGCGTGCTTGCAAATCCCATCCCTCCACAAATATATCCCGCCTCGCATATCAGCAAACAGAAGCTGTTTGGTACCCTGTCTCGTCCGGATAGTGACCGACAAGGAAAGTGTTCACTCTGAGCTTTCTAAAGCATTTAGTAACCAACTCATATTTTTGTATGTTTCACATCCCACTTTTTCACCTGTTTTTACTAGAATTGCATCAGCGGTCTGTTTTTTGGTTGGAAGCTTGTATCTAACTCGTTAAAGCTTGAATACAATACAATACAATAAGCGCCAGAAACGCTCCGGTAGGCATCCTTTACTCCTTTTCTTTTCTTCGGGCGGGGCCTTCGAATTTCGGCCGCGCTATCCGTTTTTTTCATCGTCGGATTATCCGCTGCATAAACATAACTGTGTCTGAGCTTTTTTACATCATTCGCATGAACGTTTGCCTTGGTTGCCAAGACGACTATTGTGCTACTACAGTAATGACAAATTTGATCAAATACGCCCGGGATTTCATGCATTCCATCAAATGGACCAAATGTGCAGCTGCAACCTGTTCGGGGAGGACTATAAAGCAATAAAACCAAAAGGTCGTTCAGAAAGCTTTCGAAAAATCTGAGGAAGCATCGAACTGGTCGGAAAGTTGCTCTTCGAAAACAGACCATCTCCCACCTGTGTGTTCCCATCATTCTCAGTTCTAAAGTCCGATCTCTTATCAGAAATATGGCCGATCTCACCAGCTTAATCAAGCAACGGGAATATGCCCAAGTAGGTCTGATTATTCTACAAGATCTTTGGTTCCACAATGAAATTGAGGATGAAATAATACACCTAGATGGATTCGCTAGCTATCGTGTCGATCGTCCTGTCCCTTATTCCCGACGGGAGGTGGCGTCATCACGTTTGCCAAAAATCAGTGCTGTCATCTGACCAAAAATGTGTTTTCTTATTCCACACGTTATATAAACGCATCAGCAATTCAACGTAAACCCAGAAATTTTAGCTTTCCTCTGTCACTTATTCTTGTAAATGTGTATATAGCCCCCTCTTGCTTATCTTATGTTCTGAATGATTTTTATGACTCTCTTTCAACTACACTGATTGAATATGTACATGCTTCAGGCTGTATCATTTGTGGTGACTTCAATAATTCCGATACTCGTTTCTTAACTACTACTTCAAAACATTGTTACCTTTCCCACCAGGTTTGATGCACATCTGGATTTGGGTTTTATCAACCT